GTCCATCTGATCTTGAGTATTGAGCGAAGACAATTGTTAATGCAGGTCTGAAGTTTGTTGGAGATGCTCTTTATGACGCGCTGGCCAAGTCTCTGATCCGTATGGTGAGTAGCACTGACTGACCTCACATTGGAGTTGAAAATCCGGATCTCATTTTCATTCTCATGCTGAGTGCTGTTGATCTGCTTCATATAAACTTGAGAGTAATGAAAGCTTGTCTTGCTTTTCCGATGCTCGCTTTGATATTCTCGTCAGTTACGCCGGTATTTAAAACGATGCTTTCCAGGTAGGTAGGTAGGTGAAGGAAATTGTTTCTTTCAGGTTCCTCCTATTTATGCTGACTGATTGTTGTCTGTTGTTGTTGGCCAGGAATCTTCATCACCTATCTCTGTTTTATCTATGTTCACTTGAAGTCCTATCTTTGATGCTTCTTCTGACAAATTGTTACTTTTCACTTGCATATCTTCCAATTTGTAGGAAATTAGACATATATCATCGGTGAAGTCCAGATCCTCCAAGTTTTTTGTGTGAGTCCATTTTATGCCTGTTTTCTCATTGCCTGTTTTCTGTCGCGTTATCCAATCTACTGCCATCAGGAAGATCATTGGCGATAGTAGACAGCCTTGCCTCGCTCCCGTCCTCACTTCGAAGGCTTCCGTAAGTTTCCCGTTGTGGGTGATTACTTGGCATGCAGCATTGTCGTACAACTGTTGGATGAGATGTATAATTGTCGGCGGAACCCCGTAGTAGCGAAGTAGTTATCAAATCACCTCTCGATCGACGCTGTGCTGTCGGAGGCCTTTTCAAAGTCGATGAAGTTGAGATAGAGAGGTGACTGCCATTCCAAGCTTTGTTCAACAACGACAACAATAATCCCAACTAATTTTCATTCTTGTCTGATAAAGCTGACGTAAACACACACACAAATAATCATACGCAATTGCGATCGTAAAGCTAAGTGAATGAATTCGCCGCCAAAAAGACACTCTTCGCTGAACTGCATGTCTTGTTTTTCACTTTTCACCTAATTTCCAGCAAATAAAAAGTTCCAGCGGAACCTTCGCTTATTAAGTCGCAAAGAACTATCTGGCTTCCACCTCTCGAAGAATTTGGCCTACAACGCAGCCTTTATATATATATATATATATATATATATATATATATATATATATATATATATATATATTACATATATATATAATGGTCACCTTGTAACGGCGTATAACTCTCAAGCTCTCACCAACACCTACAATGCCTGCATATTAATTTCAAATAGAACAATAGACGGGACTTACAAGAACCATGGAAAGCCTCAACATTTATATATGTTGAATCATTGACACACACCTATAAACAAGATGCCAGTGAAGTGATCCTAGTATCACCAACATTTATAAGTCCCGTCTACATGTACTATGTCCACTTATTATCTTGAAACCTCGTGGCACTGGCATCCACCAACTTAGCTGGTGACGATGACGCACTAAACACCAGCGCCAAATCTGCATTGCTCCACTTGATCCTCAGTTAACAATCATTTATGTCCAGTCAACATTGAAGGTTATACAGCAATAAGAGGGTGAAATAGCCACCAGAGAAGTGCTGCCTAGTCGGCATCTCTGTATATGCAAATCTCGGCGACTTGCAGGCCTGAATGCAATTCGATCTATAATGGGAGCGCATCCACTTGATATCAAGTTATTCAAGGATAAAGGATACTATTTCCCTATCAGCTGACAGATATCGTAGTGACAGATTAAGGAATTCAATGCACAAGTCAAGATCTACTTGGTCTTTGGTCTGATAATACGGGCCATCCCCTACAACATCCCGAAGATCGCAAACTATTTCGTGCAAACACCAAATTCCAGCACAGCCATCGCCATAATGCTAATACCACTGGTATTGTCTCTTAAACATACACTCGAACCGATAGCACTGCTATCAGCTACTGGCAGTGTAGGTGTATATGCATGACTGTTGTACCCTCTACAAAACATGCCTAGATTCTCATCACAATTTAGCATGTAGCAGGTTCATTTTGTGATCTAGCGATGAAAACAGGAGGCACCAATCACAACAGGTTAACGTAAGTAAACAAACTGATAATACCTAATACTTGTGCCAAGTACCAAACCGAGTTTCAGTTTATTAAGTGGGTTTGAAGAGGATGAGAAGTAGAATTTCGAGAGATAGGTGAGTTTAGGAATCATTCGTTGATCATACAAGTGTCTGCGTTCTGTCTCGTGTTGACTTGTGAGACAACAGGGTGAGCAATATTAGGTTTAGACATAGAAGAAATTACAGCCAATGGGGTTGTGAAGCTACATCGATTGACATGGTTACGACATGTGTTATGCATGGATGCATGCATGCCTGCCTGTATGCCTAGCAATCGCCTTCCTCGAAAATGGGCAATGTTAACCACTAGCATAGGACGGATTAGGTTGGAAAACATAAAGCCAGTGATGACCAAACCGAAACATGGCTGCATCATCAGTCAATGAAATCAACAACAGTTAGTTTAGGCCAGCAACCACGCCGGCCATTCACATAGACAGGTGTAGACTGCCTGGTTGGGATCCTCGAGATGGTGGTGAGAACCAAAGAAGGCTGGAGACAATTGGTTATATGGATGCCTCAAAATCGTACTCGATGGTGCCTGGTACTGCCGTAGATGCATTCACTCTTTGTGACCTATGATATATATAATAAAACTATACTGTTCTTCCGTATAAGTACTATTCTTTTTGCTTCACATTTCTGCTCATTAGTGTACTTTTGAATCTCTTTTAGCTAAAAACACAGTGACCTTGAACAACTAATAAGAATTCAGACACAAAAAAGCCACATAATCGTTGGAAAATGCATTACAAATCATTACAAACATGTCTGTCTGTCTGTTTTCGACACAGAACTTTGCACCGATGTACACCAGTTCAATTCACCACACTACCTCCTTGTAGCACACAAAACAACAGAAGAAAGCAGAAGTAGAAGAAATGCATAATAGAGAGAGACAGTAACACAGAGGTGTGAGACAAAGGAATAGTAGTAATAACGAAGAACAATATAGTTTCATTGGAAATCATAAGTCACAAGGAGTGAGTGGATGAACCTGAGCCAGCCAGCTATTGAGAACGATCACTTTGAGCCAGCCATATCACCAACTGTTTCCAGCCTTCATTGGTTTTTACCGTCCCGAGGACCCCAATCAATCAGGAAGTCTACACCTTTCTACGTGACTGGCTGGCTTAAACTAACTGTTGTGGATGTCATTGACTGATGAAGCCATGTTTTGGTTTGACCGCCACTAGCTCTTTGCCAGCCTGACAAATCCTCTGTCAGCTAACATTGATCTTCGTCGAGGAAGGCGATGACTACGCATACGTAACATATGTCTTAACCATCTCAGTCGATGTAATTTCACAGCCTCAATGTCGATTGATTTCCCCTCCCTACTTAGCACTCGACCGACTGATGCCTAACCTTAATATGGCTCACCTTATTATACCACCAATTCACACGGGGGATAGAACGCAGGCATTTATGATGAAAGACAGCTAGCCAACCTTTTCATGTCTTCCACTCTTAATGGCCAGATCTCACAGCTAACCATTAAGGAGGACAGAGCGGACGGCCATTGCAAACATGATATTTCACTATATAGTTGTCGCGTCTATGTTGTAAGAATGCCTCGCAGTTACAATACAGACGATCATCTATAGAGAAATCATGCCATGCACGATATATGAATTCACCCAGGTGACTCGACATAGTGGTACTATGAGACTTATTGATATTTATGACACTGTTCTTCAATCTATTCCTAAATGTAATCTCAACACCAAACCCTAATTTTTATCTTAAGCTCAGTTCCTAAATATTTAAAGCCATTGGGTGGCATGTACTACTGATAAGATTTACCAGTAGTATATAAAGAAAGATTCATCGGCATAAAAACATCTCACATAGCAGGGAAATACATGTAATGTAATAGAAAGCAAATGATTCAGAGTGCCGGAGAAACATAGGCAAAGTAAAAGGAACACAAAGAAACACAATACAGAGAGAGGCGGACAGAAATGGCACAACACAGAAGATTTCTGCAAATGGTGCGTTGAAGATGAGGTGTGTATAATTCCACTATATATTTTTCCTTCACGTTCCCCAGTGGAACATACGGCTTCAAGCTACTGGCTTGAAGTTTCTGTACCAGTGTTTATTTTACAGGATGGGGTTGCTAGCCTCATGCCCAACCTTTCCTCTTTACCAGCATTATTTCTGGCTAAGCGAGGTAAAGGAGTGCGTCGGTGGCCGGGGATCGAACCCCGGACGATGTGCATGGTCGGCGAGCGTCCTAACCGCTATACCACCGACGCACATCGTTAGGAAATTACGTCTTATATATCATCACCATTGTTTATCAGCTGCAAATTTTAATGATGATAATAATAATAATCCTATTCCATTTTTGGCCAAAAATATTCATGGACAAGAATGATTGTTATTATTTAGTTCAATTTAATTGATAAGACCCGTTGCGCAAGAACGAAGTGGCTCTTGTGACCAAGTGGATAACGCTTTGACTAGCGTTTGATACTATGGACACACAGTTCGAACCCGCATGGTGGGAACACCATCACTCATTCATACACTCACTCAGCGTGAAGAATGTGTAGGTACATCCACGAGTTAAAGAGTCACAAATAGGACAAAATGTGTTATTCTGATGGATTCCACTGCTAGTCAAATACTTACCTAACCATCAAATAAATAATTATGACAGGATTTCATCATGAACTGACATTGGTTAAAGAACCCTTCGAAAACCTGGGAGTACTGGATAGCTGTTTCGTCTTAGTTTGGGACTCTTCAGTAGTACGCACCCATCCAGGTTTTCCAATGGTTCTCCAACTAATATCAGCTCATGATGAAATCGTGTAACCAATCAAATCACTACAAACCAACACTTAAATAATTGTGAGTTTAATGCTTACTTTGTGTTTACACTTCTCCTTAGATTGATTCTCTTCTGTACCAATTAGACCCAAAAAAGTACCTGTCGACATTAAACCACTGCAAAAAGAATCAATCAATTGTGACATATCCTGCTTAATCTTTGGAAGACTTGGCAATTCTGGTGATAAAGCCGTCAGATCTAAAATTTACAACAACAAAAAAACGAACAACGATGATAAAAAATTTGCTGGTAAGACACGACATTTAATAGTACGAACTCGTTTGATTTGGTGCATTTATATTTTTATTTTGATTATAACTTGATCTCACATCGTATTTTCAGTACAAGTATGGAATTGTCAGTATGTGATATCGGTAGCCCAGATTTTGCAGGCCGACCATAGATAGCGGGTGTGCGTCAGTAGGGGATCAAACCCCAGCCCATGTGCATGATCGGCGAGAGTTCTAACCACTGTGCCACCGACGCACAAATTGACTCTCTTCAACGGCTGCCTATATCCTAAACACAATCAAATTATAAGTTACACAAATGGTGTCTAAACATACTTTTTACAATGACCTCAAGTGTCATAGACAGAAGGTACAGGCAACATAATTTCCAAAGATGATGTAATCAGACAATTATTTGGTGTTAGTAACTATTTATATGGGTAATTAGACAATGGGGTAGACAAGAATGGACTAAAGAGAACAGCGTCTACTAGATTCTCTAAGCATATCCGGAAAAGTTTTCGTTTGATAAGTCTCCGTTTGATATAAGAATAAAACTTGTGCACTGTGGTAGAGTGTAATTCCATTATGGGTGAAATTTGTTTTGATAAAGTCTCACAGTGTTATACAGTAATGTTTACTGATGACTTTTCGAGCAAAATTTATTGCTCATAATCATATCAAGGTACTCATTCTGTTGACCCAATTAGACAACATAACATAATTTACAAAATACCATGCAATGACTGTGAGGTCAACTACATAGGTCAAACTAGTAGGTCAGGGGTAGTCAGATTGTCGGAACATAAGAATTTAGCTAAGGGAAGAATGGTTGACCCAATTCGAGAACATACGTAACTTAGAAAAAAGCTCAGCAATTGCAATGCATGCATTAACACACAACCACACAATGGCATTGTGGGAGAGGGTTAAAATTCTAACTAAAAAGTAATCTAGGTAGGTGGAGAGAGAGATTGATTACTGAATCCTGGCTGGTTCATCGAGTCTACACCAAACACATGCAGTAGGAATGATTCATCAATCATACCCGAAATATGGAAAATACTACTACCAATCAAATCAAGTGAAAAATAATGGAACTATATAAATGAGGTTAGGAAGTCGTGTGATTACCTTGATATTATTATGAGCAACAAATTGTGCTCGAAACGTCAGCAGTAAACACTACTGTATAACACTGTGAGACTTTATCAAAACAAAATCTCCGTTAAAAAGGCAGCAAAGTGTTCTCAAACGCAGTCGCCAGACACCTAATTCACCGACACGGGACATACACAATGGGAATTAGCCTGGAGCCTTTCAAAATGATCAACACACAAGGAAAAGCATCGCTATTTTGGTTCACAGAGGCCACCGCCATCAAAAACTTCCACCCAACCTATGCATGCAAAAAGATAGTCTCACTAATCTCTCACTACCCTACCCTACCCTACCTAATAACCATAATTGTTTCATTCGTATGCTTCTGTGGTTTGTTTTGCTCTGTTGCACAGCTTTTCACTCAATTTTCAGTTTGATTTTCACTTACTCTCTCACTGAGTTGAACTCACTACTAAATTCCAAAATCTACTAAATTACATTATTTCACCTAGTTTGTAAGTTTAACTCATTATGCGCCCACACCCACACCCACCCTCGTCAACACTCTACCATCATACGTGCAAATTCACTCTCTTGTTCTGTCATGTTATTTTTGTCTCTAGACCATCCTTGTTTTCAAGAGAAATCTGACATATGCCCTCTGTCCTCGTCTCATTACTATATAAATAGTTACTAACACTAAATAATTGTCTGCTTACATCATCTTTGAAATTATGCTACCTGTACCTTCTATCTATAACACTTGAGGTCATTGTAAAAGGTATGTTTAGACACTATTTCTGTAACTTATAATTTGATTGTGTTTAGGATGTAGACAGCAGTTGAAAAGAATCAATAATAATACACGAAATAAAACCACCTGGTGTTATCAAAACTGCAAATATGTTCATTCTTTCTTCCATTATTCAAACTATATTAAGGGAGGAAACGCCTGTAAGAAAAGAAACATGACATTTATAGTCCTGCTGGCTACAAACTAAGTGTGATTTATAACATTGCATTCAAATCGGCTATTTTTCTTGTAAAATAAATGTCTCTAGAAATAGTTACCCAAACTAACAGTGTGTCAAATCTTCATAGATAAGATTACCACTTCAAGGAAATTTCTGAGAAGTAATACAAAAATAAAATCATATTATACTGAATAATTTGTATATACAGTTGTAGTTGTTAACATGAGAAGGGTATCTATCGGTTTTTGATTGCACCGAAGTGCAAGTTGTTCGATAGACATTTACATGTATCTCCGGGAGAAGTTACATTGGAAGGACAGAAAAAAGGTATATCTATGATTTTCTGAACATGTACCAAAAAGCTTATGTCTACAGCTGGGAACAAATGCTTTAAACAGTGCCATCCATCTCCTTCACACGCGTCGGTCATGACGTGGACGTCGCGATCGAAAGGTCGTTCAAAATTATCAATAGGCAAAAGAGTTCAATTCTCGTCAAGTTTGCTGAAGCTATACATTCCCATCAAGCGCCCGAAACCTGATTTATGCGTCCAGAAAGAAGCGGTTATCAGTCTTTATTTGCCCTGCCTGGTGACTGGATATTTTTATCTCTCTTACGTCTGAATGCGTAATGCCGAAAAGTTTCCATTGTGTATGATTATTACTGCCGTTCGGAATAGTGTTTAATATTACATATATATATACATATATTTACTGTATGCATATGTATGATCGATTGATTTTTTGTTTGAAATGAACTCTGTGCAAGTATGGTAAAATTGTTTTTGTAGATATATTTAATAATGACTTTGGCCTGTTGGCAGCTGAGGAGGAGGCGACGAAACAAACACTGATGGTACCACTTTATTCTGCTAAAACTCTAGTTCTTTCTTTGTTCAAAAGCTTAAATAATTGTACTCCTGTTTAGCTGGACCCAAGATTGTCCACGGGATTTTTTATGGCTATGAGACATAGCCACTGAAAGTGGAAGATACGAGAAGGCTAATTGTCTTTGATCATAGGTGCTGTGTTGTATGGGTGCTATAATATGTTAGTGAGCAATGTTGAGTTGAGGCATAGGTTGAATGCTAGGAAAAGGAAGAGGAGGAGAGGAAATCAATCGACAACGAGTCTGTGGAGCAGTTACACCGACTGAAATTGATGGTTAGGACATGTGTTGCTCACGAATACCTGCCTGACTACCCATCACCTTCCTCGACGACAAGCGAGGCGATGTTAGCCACGGACTGACATAAGATGGATGGATAAGGTTGGAAAGCAGTTAGCTAGCGGTGGTGGTGATGGTTAAACCAGAACATGACTTCATCATCAGTCGATGAAATCCACAACAGTTAGTTTAAGCCGGCCAACCAATCACATAGGGAGGTGTTCACTGTCCAACTGACTGTCTGGTTGGGTTCCGTGGGATGGTGGTAAGAATCAATGAAGGCTGGAGGCAATCGGTGATGACTGACTCAAAATCGTTCTCAGTGATGGCTGGCGCTGGCGCAGATCACTCTTTGTAATCTATCATATACGATAAAACTAATGTTCTTCCATATAACTATGCTTTTTTACACTCACTCTCTCACTGCTGTTTATTTTCTATATCTCTCTTTTGAACCTCTCTATTCTTTCCTCTCGCAAGTGGAACTGGTGGATATCTGTGCAAATTTGTACGTTGAAACCAATCAATTAGTCGGTGAGTTCAAAGACCCCCACCTCCTCACACAATCTCCTCTAATTTCACCCATGGACCCTGGACCAATTGGTAACTTCCACTTTGAGTTCCACTTGAAGGTTTGGTGCGAGATGTCACTCAATAGTATTCTCAGGGTGTGTCATATAAATCCCTATTTCCTTTTGTATACATTTATTTATTGAGCAATAATTTCCTGTTTCTAGTTCATTCCGACTGGCCATCTGCAAGTTTATTCCTGATATTATAAATTATCCACCTTTTACGCAATCGCACTCACACACAATTTGTGAATTTTTGATACTAAATGGTCGGAGGGTATCGGAAGGAAGCCTCCAAACATCTATCTATCTAATATCAACAATTCGAAGCGCACTGTAATGGCGAGCCACCCGAGTGGCATGGTGGCCACATTGCAAACATCACTGATTACAGAATTCAGTTTGCACTGCACCAAATAAAGGACGAGACACACACGCTACACCAGTTACTAATTAGTATCGAATCAAAATCTCTGAATTCGCCGATTCAGTTTAAAGGAAGTATATAAAAAATCTCCGCGTTGACTATATGCTTTCAATTAAAAAGTCCTTTCTTACCCGACTCATCAGTTTCATTCCCAGTTGGTTGTTGCTTGTCTGCTTTCTCTTCGATATCCGGTAGGAGAAATTCATTAGGATCAATATTTTTCACTGTATTTGCAGCAGCTGTAATATGGTCACGGAACGATGAGGCAGTACGGTACACAACGTCTTTTGGTTCTGATACCGAGTGAACAACTTCACTAAAATCTTGTTTTATTTGCTCCCACACCTAGACAGAATAATATCAACAAAGTGAAGAATATTTAAGTGTTGGTTTGTAGGGATTTGATAGGTTACAGGATTTCATTATGAGTTGACATTGGTCAGAGAAGCATTGGAAAACTTGCGAGTATAGGACAGCTGTGACCAGTAGGGTGCAGCAGGTCGAATGTGAGGACAAATACTCGCCGAAGACATTGGATAGGGGCCGCGCTATGTCGTGAGTTGGCAGAAGTTCGAATTCATGGGATGGCCATTGGATCGGGCCCCAATGGTTTAATGGTCTACGAGCTCGCCAGACTTGTAACCAGAAGGTCCTGGGTTCGAACCCCATGGTGTGGGTGCGTACTGATGAAGAGTCTCAAACTAGGACGAAACAGCTGCCCAGTACTCCCAGGTTTCCAATGATTCTCCAACCAATGTCAGCTCATGATGAAGTAAAGAATAATTAGATAACTGTTAATCTAAAAACATGATTAGTTGAATAATAGGTAACAATATGAAACTATATATATGTTTAAGATGAAAACTGCTACGATCTGGATTGCATCCGGTAACTTCATAATGTAAGCAATTCTGTGACCTGAAGACAAGTTTTAGGTAATGATGAGCACTGTCTTTCAACACCACGCTAGCTTCGGCGGTCAATATATGTACTCTACAAACTTCTCCCCAACGGCTCTTACACAGTTCACTATTTAACTGCCCCGCAACAGAGTGGGTAAAGCGGAGGCGTTAGCATAATGTGGCACTGTTGGATCAAGGAGATATTTCCCTTCTGTTGGTAGGTCAAGACTTCTGAGGCGGGATCTGAGAGATCGTTCAAATCAGTACCTCCAGATGTTATAATGTTATGTGACTAAAAACCGCAATCAACAGCGAACATTTATCCATTCTTGAAAGGAACACGAATGAATGAACCAATCTTTGAATGCTCTTGGCAAGAATGATTACTTGGATTGTGAATCATCTTTCTTATCTATTCTATTTTACGAAACCAGTTGGTTAGGCTGTTTGGACGACACCGAACTCACCTCCTCTCCAGTTGATTTCGACTAGAAATAATGCCCACGATGGATGCCTAACCATCTATCCTGCTGGAGGCCGAACTCCAGTCACACTACCTGCTAATTCTTTAGCCTGGCCCACCTAACTTGGTTTGTGTGACATTAGCTATAAATAATATCATTGCAAAGTCCAGACATTCTAGAATCTTCCTATCGGTCCGATGCATTCCTATCTTCTCTCTCTCTCTTCCCAAAGTTTTCCCCATTATCCAGTCCATCACAATTGGGAATATCATCGTTATTGACAGTAGTCAGTTTTATCTTATTTCTATCTGAACTTCAAAGATCTCATTGACTACACGAATGTGGATCACTTGATATGCAGCACTGTCATATGGCTGTTGAATTAGATCGATAAAGATTTCAGGCACTCCAATCTCTTTAGATAAACATATACTTGATGTAAAGTCGATGAACAGGAATTCGGGGTTGGGTTGGAGCCGGGGGAGACGGGTACAATTTATTCAGTTATTTTACTAATAAAATAACGTTTAACTGCTCCTGTGGAGTCAGTTACACAGGCCGTACAATTAGGTGTGTTTCTCGTCGAATTTCCGAACATCACCCTGCATGGTTGGTTAACTGAAGTACAAACAAAATCTATTCGTAGCACTATTCTATCTCACTCATCTTGTGGATACAGAACAAAAGATTGATGTCCATGAGGCTTTCAAAGTCATTTACCGCACACCAACAAATCTCAATTTTGCCTTAGGAGTTCGACTACTAAATATTGCTGAGGCTGGCCGTTGGGATCCATAATAACAAGCCTAATTTGTGCATCCAAAAGAAGTTGATTAGTTCAGACATTATTTTAGTTGATATTCTATTTGCTACTATATCTTTATTATTATTAGTATTATTTAAGCGTCTTTAGTGAACTGTGGTAATTCCATTGTGATCTTACTTTACAAATCGATATTATTTAAAAAAACACTTGTTATTGACTACTAATCTAGAATATTCTGTGTATATAAACAAGCATATATATATAATTGTGGAACCAGAGGAGTAGAAAATTATCGAAAAGGATATTCTTTGCTCAATTATTCTGTGTTTAGTAAAGTGTAGAAAGTGGATTTTCAAACAGAAATAAGAATAATGCATAAATCACTTACACGAGTAGTCTTAGCCGAAATTCCACCCATCCAATCTGTGTTAAGATCTTTTGATGCAGACAATTTGTCTTCTTCAAATTCTTCCAGTCTAGAAGGCTCGTCATCATTAACACCATTTTTAGACCTGAATATATAAAATAATCATCATATTGTTATGAATGGTAAAAAAAATATCTGACATACACTTCAATTTCTGAAATATCTTTGGTTATAACTGACGACTTCTCTTCAAGTTTTTCAGGAATCTGTTTCTCTTTCTCGTCAGTTGAATTTCTAAGGGGGGAAATCAAGTGTGTGTAAGCCAGACTTACACTCCCAGTGATGCAAGTGAATTCATATAGTATAATACTGAACTCTGAAATGAATAAAAAAGAGAGAAATTGATAATATATTATCATTGTACATAAATTAAAACTTATTCAATTAAGTAGAGTGGCCGAGGACTAGTGGAAAGACGATAGTGTTTTTCATAAAATCTGTATGAAAACGGATTGTTATTGATAAACAGTAGTACAGTGATAATGAAATAAGGATGATGAGAACAATAATAATAGTAATAACAGTAAACTTACATAATAAAAGGAAATAAAATTATAATGAGAACGATAGTGCGGCCATGGTAGATTGGCGAATGTATGTGGTGCTCTTGAATGTAGAGGTTTGCTTCCAGATCTCGAATAGCCAATGATTCACCTGATTCATCCATCTTATGTTAGTCAGTGGCTAATATCGCCCCACTCGTCGTCGAGGAAGGCGACGGCTAGGTAGGGAGGCAGTCAGACAGGCATTCGTGAGCAACACATGCCCTAACTATTCATCTCAGTCAGTGTAACTGCTCTACAGCCACACTTTCGATTGATTTCCCCTCCTCTTTCTCCTCCACCTCTTTCTTCCTTACCTAGAAGTCAACTGACCGACGCTTCACCTCCATGTTCTTTATCACCCTGTTACATCTGGCACCTACGCCGCCTAACACGTGAGGTGGATAGAACGCAGACACCCACGATCAAACACAGCTTGCTGGCGAGCATATCTTTTTACGTCTTTCGCTTTCAATGGTCATGTCTCACAGGCAGCCAGCCCGCCAGCCATAAAGGAGGACAAAGCGGACTGCTGAGCAGTACATACGAAGCCAACGTGATTGTAAGTCTGTCCTACTCTACTGCTTGGTTGTGTGCTAATGCATGCAATGTAATTATTGATAGTCTTTGTAAATTACTCATCTTTGTGGAGTCAAGCGTTCTATACTTCACACAATCTGAATATTCCTGGGTTTGCAGGTCTAAATACCGCCCTTATTACTAGTCCATGAGATATCCTATATAGGGTTTCATACACCCCTTCATTATGCAATAGAATTGCAGATACCTAATTTTTCCTTATGTTGTCTGTACTGGCTTCATTTTTTTTCTTGTTTTTCTTGTGAGCTTGATAAATTCTATGCCACAGTTATTTAGTGTTAGTAATTTTGTACGCTGAAACCGGTTAGTCAGAGTCAGAATCTTCAAAAGCAGTACAGATAGGTGGAGTTTGATTTCTGACTGAAGCTTGGCTCATCATATCTACGCATACAACACATACAGTAGGAATGAATTAGCACCAATACCGTAAACTCAAAAAACTTACTATCAATCAAATCTGAGGATAAGAAGTATTTGATATCTCTTTTTTACATTTTACAGCTTGATTCCACACTGTATTTTTGGTACAAGTATCGAATTTTCAGCATGGATACCAGAAGCCCAAATTTTGCAGGCCGACCATAGATACCAGGTGTGCATCGGCAGGGGATCGAACCTCGTACCATGTGCATGGCCGGCGAGAGTCCTAACCACTGTGCCACCGACGCACTTTGTTTTATTTCTAGTATTTTATTTTACTTTGCTGAAAACAGTCATCTTGTTTTTTATCGTATAGCATTCACATTTTTAAATATATTTCATCTTTCTATCATTTATTTTACTCACATCTATTGAACTTTACATTGGCCGTTATTTATTCATCCTTGTCTAATTAATTTGGGACCTAAGTATATAAACAAGGTTGGAGAGTTGTGTATACATTGATATGATTGTGAGCAATAATAAACTAAGCCCGAGACGTCATCAGTAAATAATGCTGTGACAGTGTGATTTTACCAAATAAATTTATTATATGGCGGAGTTTTGGCTTGCTGTCAGAAGAAATTATAGGAGAAATCACCTAGAAGCATGTCTGAAACAAAAAGACCTAGAGACCAGTCATGGCTGTGATAATAAACTTGAAAGTATGGTCAGACAAGATAAGTTAAGCAGAACAGCTTATTTCAACCTAGCTTGGTTTACTGTGATGGTCTGCTTTAAGGTCATTCGTGTGCTCATCTACTTGCATAATGATTTTCAATTTCTGAACATTAACTTCCCAGTCATTTTATTGTACGCTTTTAACCTCAAAAAGCGAAAATTGTTTTGAAAAACTTTTGCTTTTTAGCTGCTTACTTCACTGCTGGATGTAAGGAGATTTGGAATCCAATTAAAATATCCACCCAAGTTTTCACTTGATGGAGAACGTTCACTATCCTGAGTTTCACACATATTTTTGGACGAGTTAGTGTCATCAGAATCCTCCTTCGTTGCATTTCTAAATTTATTATAATATTACACGATAGAAAACTTACTGATTTTCAATATTTTCAGGAGAAACCTCAGTAGTGTCACTACAGGGTATCTCAGCTAGGTTGCTGTATTGTTACTAATTAGAACATAAGCTCATATACTTACTTAACCAAGCTTGTAACACTTTTAAGATATCCCCTGAACATATCCTGTAACAATTTTTCTGATTAACTGTTTTGTATACAACTTACCATCGAATCAGGTGATATAGAGGAAATTACTGAATTTGGCGGTTTGGAATTAAATGATTCAACTACTTTCATTTACATTTCAAATATGTGGAATGAAGTCCTTACATCTTTGTGGTCCAGGAACGGAAGACTGAAAGTTTTGTCAATGACTTCCTGCATTCAACTTTTTTATTTGTTGTCAAAACAAATTCCATAACCTATGAAACTGCTTAAGATAAAAAACACTGTGATGGGCTAACCAGTGCATTGAATAGGACTACATCTTGATAACCACTGAGGGATACACCTTCATACAGACAACGATCTAAAGACTGTTTATGAACACTGGCTTTCACAATCAGTCCGTTTCCCAATCGCAAAAATGGATATCAGTCAAACAAATACCATACTCTTGCCATTTAACGCATGATCATGGAAAAATGACTCAGCCAAGGCTTTTTGATCGCATGAGAGGGCTCAAACGGATTAAAATGGATTTAATAATTGGTTTTTGCCTAAAAATCTCAGCTCTGACCTTTACAGCCTGCTTTTTTAAAGAATCGATTTGAATTACCTCTGGTATTATTATTAATATTTATTATTATATCCTTTAATTCCTAGAGGAACATAGGGATTCAGCTGCGCACCTCCGTTGCCTTCTGTTTTCTGCCGACTTTTTCATCCTGCTCCAAGTCTGCCCACATGCTTTCATCCCCTCCTCACATGACCTCCTCCTCCAAGTCACCCTCGCACTGACGACCAACTCGCCACCCGCTTCCCTTTCGGGTTCCACTCGAGCGATGGCTTGTCTAGTGATGTCACTTGATGGTTTGTTGTCTCGGAGTATGGCCAACCCATCTCCATTTATTCCTGCCTATTTGTTGCGCAGTCGGTTCCTGATGTGTTGGTTCGCTCATTGACAGAGATCCCTGTTGCCGATCTTTTCTGTTCATCTGATCTTGAGTATTGAGCGAAGACAATTGTTAATGCAGGTCTGAAGTTTGTTGGAGATGCTCTTTATGACGCGCTGGCCAAGTCTCTGATCCGTATGGTGAGTAGCACTGACTGACCTCACATTGGAGTTGAAAATCCGGATCTCATTTTCATTCTCATGCTGAGTGCTGTTGATCTGCTTCATATAAACTTGAGAGTAATGAAAGCTTGTCTTGCTTTTCCGATGCTCGCTTTGATATTCTCGTCAGTTACGCCGGTATTTAAAACGATGCTTCCCAGGTAGGTAGGTAGGTGAAGGAAATTGTTTCTTTCAGGTTCCTCCTATTTATGCTGACTGATTGTTGTCTGTTGTTGTTGGCCAGGAATCTTCATCACCTATCTCTGTTTTATCTATGTTCACTTGAAGTCCTATCTTTGATGCTTCTTCTGACAAATTGTTACTTTTCACTTGCATATCTTCCAATTTGTAGGAAATTAGACATATATCATCGGTGAAGTCCAGATCCTCCAAGTTTTTTGTGTGAGTCCATTTTATGCCTGTTTTCTCATTGCCTGTTTTCTGTCGCGTTATCCAATCTACTGCCATCAGGAAGATCATTGGCGATAGTAGACAGCCTTGCCTCGCTCCCGTCCTCACTTCGAAGGCTTCCGTAAGTTTCCCGTTGTGGGTGATTACTTGGCATGCAGCATTGTCGTACAACTGTTGGATGAGATGTATAATTGTCGGTGGGACCCCGTAGTAGCGAAATAGTTGCCAAATCACCTCTTGATCGATGCGCTATCGAAGGCCTTTCCAAAGTCGATGAAGTTGAGATAGAGAGGTGACTGCCATTCCAAGCTTTGTTCAATGATGATCCACAATGTGGCGATTTGATAACTACATGATTTGTTTCTCCTGAATCCGGCCTGTTTCGGTCGAGGTTTTTCATCCATATTGGCTTGTTTGATTCTCTCCAGGATGATGTGACTTAGTATTTTGCTTGGAATGGACAGAAGCATAATTCCACGCCAATTTTTACATTGACTTAAGTCTCCTTTCTTTGGTAGTTTGAATAAGTATCCTTTCTTCCAATTCTCGGGTACCTCCCCCCTTTCCACACCTTCTCCAGTAGTGGTGTCATCAAGTCCGCTGTTGTCTCTGGGTCCACCGTTTTCAAGTTATCCCAGTTCTTTTCGACGCTGACCTCTTCGCTGGTGTTGATTTGTGTCTCGGCTTCGTCTCTTATGCTTGCAATGAAGATGTCCTTTGTAGCCTGGTCCTTCAGCTTTTGAGTGTTGAACTTGGCTTGTGGTCTATCTGCAGCTCGTGTTTCCCTGAAAGCTTTTAATTTGATATGGATTGTCCTTTGTACGAGATAGTGGTTTGAGCCATCGTCTGCTCCTCTTCTTACTTTTGTATCCAGTAGGCTGCGTCTCCACTTCCTTGAGCAGCATTGAGATGAAGTCAGTTTGGTTTTTGGTTTGCCCGTCTGGTGACACCCATGTAGCCCTGTGGATATCTTTGTGCTTATATATACTGCCACCAATCACTGGTTGATTGAAGGCGCAGAAGTCGGCGAAGAGTTCTCCATTTTCATTCATTTCTCCGAGAGCTCCGCTACCCATGATGAGTTCTCTTCCTGTGCTGTCTGGTCCCAGTTTGGCGTTCATATCTCCCATTAGTATTCTAATGTCACCAGCTGGAGTATTGTCCATTGTTGCCTGTAGTTGTCTGTAGACTTCTGCGTTGTTTGTGGGTGCATAACATTGTATGATTGACACTCTCCTTTCTTTTGGAGTTGAATCTGGCGGTCATTATCCTGGACGAAATCACCTCCCATTGCATCAGGGCCTTTGTAGCCGTTGGTGACATCATGACAGCCACGCCCTCGGTGTGCGTGTGGTTATCTGCTGGGTGACCGGAGTAGATCACTGACTCACTCGTTGACAATTTGATGAGTACATTCCCATTCCATCTGCTCTCACATATTCCCGGTACTTGGGTTCCGTATCTTTTCATCTCGTTGGCGATCTGGGCAGCTTTGCCGGTCTCGTACATAGTGCGGATGTTCCATGTCCTCATACAGACTTTTTCTTTTGGTGCAAAAAGTTTCATCGTGCTGAGAGAGGAATTGTTACATTAAGATAAATTTTAAAGAGAAGCGACCTTTCGGGTTGCTCCCCTTAAAATCGGAAAACAAGGAACAAAACGATCAGAACAACACCAGAAAAAGGAAAACAATTTACAGTAAAAAAGGCGAAGAGTGACAACAACAATACAATGAAACAACATGCAATATATTTCAGCACAGTTAACTAACATGATACCAAAACCATTGACTCACTGCCCTGGGACAACTTGAACATATAAATCCAACAATATGTACAATTATAGATATGAGTTATTGTTAAAAGTCACAAAATGTCAAAAACGTTGTTATGAGTGTTGGTAGTCGATGATATTATATCCACAGCTTAAGTGTTCGAAAGTAGACGGATTGCAATAATTTCCAGAACTTCGTGGTGAGCATCAACAAAGAAATGAGAGTTCTATATATCACAGCAAAAAGTAACGCACTAATCGAAAAGCCTCTGGTAATTCAAGCAAAAAATTGGGTGTGAACCCTGGCAACTAGACTGAGTCCATGCTAAGGCCAAACCCTTCTCTAAATGGCCTTGCCCTGCACCTGATCCGAGAATGCTGCTTCACTCTTGAAGCTTAGAAGTGCAATGTATAAGTTTTTATCAATAAAACTAACGGAATGATTTGCTGAATGTTACTCTTGTAGTATGTAGTTGTGACTGAAAAAGAATTCCGCAAGTTTTCAAACCGTTGTCGATGAGGCATTTAACTTGCCATTCATTCGGTGTTTTCATAGATGAATAAAAAGAGTGGACTACACCTGTGAATTGGAGTTAATAATTTTACGTCCGCGTTTGCAATTCCGAGTAGATGAAAGTCGATTTCAGTTACATGACTATCTGCTTCATTGAAGAAAAGCAATTATATGCCCTTGTGAATTTACAAACTAATGTCAAATATCCCTACATACCTAAGTTCTAGCAAAACTTTATATTTCAGCCAACACGTCTAAAATAAACTGAGCCATGAATTAGTCGTTATTTCGTCGGTGAAACAGAGAACATTTCGTTTGAAATAAAGTATAATTATATTTCAGTGGTTTACACACAACAATAAGTTTTGTTATTAGTAATATGTCGGGCAAAATTACTGCCTTTGTTCACACCTCCGTTGGAATGGTTTTGTTCGCGGGCTTTAATTTTGCTTGAAGTATTTTTAATAACAAAACTAATCATTCTGCGTAAACCGTTGAAATGTAATTATATTTTATTCAATCTATTCCACAATGCTCAAACCTTTTGCTAACGTTAATTTCGTTTGAAAAAACTATCGTTAAGCTCATGGGTGAGTGATATTAATATATTCTTAAAACCGTAGTGCTTTTTCTGTCCAGGGAAATATTAACATGTTAACACTGGGCAAAAACACTGAGTTAAAGCGAAGTTTAACGAAAACTCATGCCAACAAGACGTTAACCAGTCTCGCTTCTTCCCTAAATGAAGAGACTTAGAAGTGAAATCTCCAACTCAAGACCGAAATCAACTGCTGAAGCTTGATATCAACCCAGACAGAATAACCGGCAGAAGGTAGAGGTTCGGCCCTCATTATTTAATTTGGATATGTACCAAACACACAATTATTTTTCATGTCTGGTTCTATTTCCCAACTAACTAGGCAGTATCCCGGTGAGAGAGATTTCCTATAACGCAAGGAAGAAGTGACAGTTGGTCACTAGAACCACTACTCTTGCCGGATTTCCGGAAGGTCTAGTGGATATCAGGGAAGCTTGGCGATATACTGCTTCAAACAGTCCAGCTTATCAGTAGATTAAAGTGTTAAGCTGATGCAAATTGCATGGCAAATTACAACCGCATTCTGCTCACTCTTCAAGATAAATTAAATTCTTCAAAATCACCGACTTATTATGTTCTTTGCATTCCGCATTCTTTTTTAGCCTTCCATTTTCACTAATGTCAGAGCTTCTACATACCATACGATTCAGATTCTTAATAACTGATAGCTACTTGTAGACAGTGGAAAAATTCACTGTGGTAATGAGACAGATGAGTGTTCTTATACACAAATCCTTCATATTCTCTTCACTCCATACCTCCGTTTTGCTGTCTATAGGACTCATTATAAGTTACATTTTCCTCTTCCAAAAAATCTGTTTCATCCTTCCTTCCACATACGAGTTCCACCACAACTTGCGCCAAATGTTTCCCGCTTCTGACTTCTACTGTTATCAGTAAGTTGTCCGGCGTTTCTTGCTCAGTGAGATTTGTTGTATGATTAGTTAGTATGTAACGATTTCGGCGAGATTCCGTACACAGTAGGCTGAACATA